CCTGTCACTTCATTTATAGTTACTTTGGCATTTAGAGCCTCCCGTGAAGCGTCAGTCTCCGCCTCCTCTGGGGTGTTGAACGTTGAGGTGATGTTGCTGTGGGTAACTCTCAGGCGAGAAGGGTAAATAAATCCCGTGCGAAGAAAAGCAGACTTAAGCCTTTTCCTGGTGTCTTCAAAGAGTTGACGTTGTTTCATAATCTCAGCCAATCAAATCCGGAAAGATATGGATGCGCTGACCGTGATACATGAGAGGGGATTGTTGTGCTGCAAGCTTCATGAGTTGTGTATAGCTATTAGAACAAGGGGTCGGTTAGCGCTGTTAGCAGGCTGTCCACCCAGCCAGTATGTCAGCTTTGGATAATGTTCTTTCCACAACAGATTTTCAGTAAAGCTGGCCACAATTCAACCAGGCGACTAGACTCAGCGTTTTCAGGCAGGTCTGTTATCTTTATGTTTTGGCGTCTGGAAAATGCTTCCAGGTCCTCAAATTTGTCTGGTAAGGTGTTGTTAGCATCCCCGGGCATTTAGCCTGTAGCTCGAGTGCGGCAAACCTGTGGTCGTGGTCGCTGGCCATGACCTCCACTGCAGAGAGTCGAGACGCGTGTTCTGCCAGTGTAGTTTGGCTGGCTTGCAAAGACGCTTCCAGTGAGTTAAACCTCTCGACCATTTTCTTACTCATCCCGTCTTTTGGGCCTTTCACACCGAACGCGCAAAGCGCAGGCGGGCGGCGGCAAAACCATGCATTGTGTATGTGCTACCGCGGCGGAAGAGCGCACCGCCCTGCGCATGCCTCGGTTGCGCGCTGTGCCCGAATTGAAAAATGTTTAATCTGGGCGCAGCGCACTGTGACGCTGGTGCTTCAGCATACTTTCACCTAGAGAATCCACTGACACTCTGTTGATACAGTATTCCACATTTTGATATGACCATGACCGTTCTTGGAGATATGTTGAGATTATAATGGGTGTGTATTGCACAGAATGTTCGTGTTAGAGTGGGTGACATCATCAGCTAGAATGGGAGAGGATGTCTGAAATTGTCTGAGATTTTTCTTTCCACGTTTCTCCTGGCCACAAATTACACTCTACACACATGATTTTTTCCACAGTTGTAGACAAACTTGTCCTCTCTCTAACAATGTGCTCATCAAAGCAGAGAGACATACAGAATTTAAACTGTGAGCCTTTGAGTGTGGCCAGGTCCCTTCCTGCTACATATTGACTCCAATACAAAGTTTTTCTGAGACAAGCAGAAGGGACCCCCCCACCCTCACAAGGGTTTGCAAAATATTTATTGTGGGAACACCAAAATCATATCAAAGCATTCGGGAAGTCCTCTGGACACTCAGGGTCTGCTTCTTTTTCTGATAAGAGCTAGCCCAAATGTGACACCCGCGCCAAGGCAAAAACTCACACTCCTCAACGGTTTTGCCTGCCTTAGCTGAGGGTGCATTGATCCTCGTGGTAACCCCCTCAGATTACTGTAGCAACCTGAGCCTCACTAATTAGTGAGGCCCTTTTCCCCTCCTCATACATTTATATGAAGTCTCTCTGAAACACAACCAGACACACGTATAGACATGGAGAAACACACACAGATAACTCTGTGATAATAACAGTTGGGGTTTTTAAGAATAAGAAGAACTTTATTAATCCCCAAGGGGAAATTCAAAGAAGTCTGTAGCTCATCTATTTACCAAACTACTAGGTGACTGGTCCAAACAAACTGATGATTTTTTTAACAGCCAAGACATACTCTTTGGAAAGATCTCTTTTAAAAATGTTTGAAAACTATTGAAAGCATGATTTTAGAAACGTTAACAGATTCCTGTCACCTGCATGCCTCCAGCTGGGGGAGGGGACAGTCCAGTTTCATTAAAGTGTATTTTCATACTGCATTTGAGACTGCTGAAATCTGACTGTAGGAGCTGTAAAGATGACCAGGTGACAGAGAGAAGACAGGACACAGCTGAGGGCAGATAAAACAGTCTTTATGTAAATTCCTTTAGATTGTTGCTCCCTTATTGTTTTCAAGTGATGACATCACATGATGGTTACATGAGATGCATGAGAGGTTTGATTTGCCCATCACCACACTCACACTTTAACTGAATTTAAACAGCTGCTCATTCAACAGACACGTCCAGAGAGATTGTCTTCACTGTTCTGAGATCAGCTGCTGGTCATCACTGAGCCTGCCGCAGCTCTTTGGCCTGTCTCTCGTCCAGGATGAACGGAGTGGTCAGGGTCTTCCCTGTGAGCAGCTCCAGACCCTGCAGGAGAAGAAGAAGAAGAAGAAGAAGAGCTGGTGAAATTACAGCAGCTCACTCAGTCAGTGAGGTTACTGATATATTGGTTTCACCAGTGTTGTTAGAAAATCATATCCCCTCCTGTCCACAAGGAGGCACCAGGTGGCACTTAAACCAACCATTGAACAAATAAAGCAGAGGCCAGTAAAAGGACTTCCTCTTATTTGGCTGTCATGCAAAAGTCAAAAATTGTCCAAACCACTTTGTCATTGATAGACCCAATGACAAACACAACAAATAAATGCAACTCTTGTTTCCTGGTGGTCAGGGCTCCCGTTGCAACTTTAACACCAATCAGGTAGCTCTATCAAAATAAAATGTGTGTCCTCACCTCTCCAAAGTAAGAGACCAGTGGTGAAATCTCACACTGAGCTGGAGAACTGTCACTGCAGGGAGAACACAAACAAACACACACACACACACACACAAAGATATATTCAGATTATTTCCAGCCTCTGACTCATGATATCACTCTGCCGGGTCACTATTATATGATGGGAGTGGTTAACTTCCCCAAACTAATTTGATTGGAGCAAATCTATGGGCGTACACCTGACAGGGTGAACAAAACACATCTGGACAGATGAGACTGGTGCAGCTGTTAATATGAAGCCAGGTCCAGCAGGTGATCAGTTTGGTGCTGTATGTTACTGCAGGGTGTCTCTCTCTGACCTGGCTTTGGGACTTTTGCCATGTTGGTCCAGCAGCTTGGCCCCAGCAGCCGTTGCCCAGCGGCAGTGCTGGGCCAGGAGGGAGTTGCGGGCCACGGTCGGGGTGTCTGTGGCTGCTCCGTCTGCATTTTTCAGAGGGGAAAACTCATCCTCTCTGACGACCTCAAACGCAACAAAGTTCCTTCAAGAGACAGAGTAAATGTTGCAACTGTTAACACTGCAGCGAGTTTCATGTGCAGATGTGAAGTGAATGAGGGAAACGATCATCAACGATACCTGGAGAATGGAAAGACGTCAAAAACAAACTTCTCCATCTTTATGCCATTGGGTTTGGTGGGTTTGACCTGGTTCCCCTGCGAGTCCACAAAGGGCACCTTCTTGATAGCGACATGTTGCTTCAGTTTCCCTTTAAACTTCCTGTTCGGGACCCAGCGACATCAAAGAAGGATCACTGACAGTTTGTCCAAATGTATCATAAAAATATGTACTTGGATTCTTTTTACATTGGCCAACGTCCCATCCACTAGCATAGAGGGGGAGGGGTTAAGATCTACACTACACCAGAGGGTGATGGAGATGTTTCTCAGAGATCAGTGCTGTGAAGGTGTCATGAGTCTAACAAATGGGGCCTTATGAAGAAGGGCTGATTTATTTTGATTTTTCTTCTTCATGCAGCAGCTTGTTACCATCTGTACGTCCACTGGTTCTGCTCACAGCTCTCTGCTTCTTTTAGTGACTTCCTCACTAAAACCACAGCTGTTCAGAGGACTGAGATGTTTATTTTGTGCTGCTCCAGACCAGAAGTGGAGCTTTTAAATAAATTTATCTTCTTTAGTTTTTTTTTTAATTGACCAGCAATTGCTTTGAAAATCTTTCCTTTCATCCTAAAGCTACTCACAGTGGTGGCCAAAGTTACTAACACCTGGCATATTTAAAAGGTTTCAGTTGTTTTTGTTGAATTGGCTTTTGATCATCATTATGCTCTATGAACCATAGAATAGAACCATCATACGAAGATTTAGGTGATTTTCCTTACAAATAAAACCAAGCTCAGCCTATTTCACTGTCAGTGTCACACAATCATGTTCCTTCACAGAAACCAAATTATTTACAAAGTCTGCACTTTAACCCCATCGAGCAAATTTGGGGCGAGTTGGAACATAAACTGGACAGATCTATTTTACATGCAAAAGAAAACCTTTGGTTTGAGTAGCAGAAGCATGACGGGATAACACTAGTATTGAAGTTCTCTGGTAATACTGACAGTGTGCCAGAGGAATGTTCTGCTGGAATCGCTGCAACCAAATAATTAAGTTAAAAGTGGATAAAAACAGGAGGACTCATTCATCTAATTGTGCTCGGAGAACCAATCTGCATATTTCATCAACATTATGAAATGAGATCATGTTTTGGAGGCAAAAAGGTCAGGTATTTTCAGATCTGTCAGCTGTTCTCATAATTTTGGTCACTACCTTATACCAACTCTGATAATCAACCAGGCTGATAACCAGTCGACCTCTGACCTTTACACAAAAAGTGTGTGTGTCCTGTTGAGCTCTGTGTGACAGGAAAGGTTCTTACTCTGCTACATCTTGCAGGAAAGCCCTGGTGAAGAAGTGGTTACAGATGTTTCCAGCACTGTAAACCAGCTCTCCTCCAGGTCCACGGAGTTCGGCCGTCTCTGGTTGGATCTCACTGTACTCCACCACCTGGGTGACTCCCTGCACCCTGCAGACCACGCCCACTGGTTCAGCAGGGTAGGCCTTCTCCACCACCTGAGAAGTGATGAAGGTGAGACAGCAATAGACAGAGGTTCAAAGTTTGTCCATGTGTGTGCTATAATGAGTCCAGTGACAGTGACAGTGGGTCTGTTCACACCTCTGTGATCAAAGTCTGTTTTCACAGGTATGTGTTGATGTTTTGAGGTGTTTTTGGACCGGTTGTCTGTGTGTGAGAGAGAGAGCAGTATGGATATAGTGAAATTAAATTTTATGCGGTTGAAATAAATTGTGTTGGGGTGGCATGGTGATGCAGTGGTTAGCACTTTTGCCTCTCAGCAGGAAAGTTCTGGGTTCGATCCCCACGCCTGGGGCCTTCTGGGTGGAGATTGCATGTTCTCCCTGGCAATGTGTGGGTTCTCTCCAGGTTCTCCGGCTTCCTCCCACAGTCCAAAGTCATGAACATTAGGCTAACTGGTGATTCTACACTGGCCACAGGTGTGAATGTCAGTGTGTGTTTGTCTCATGTGTCCTGTGACAGACTGCTCTACACCACCGTGTGAAGTTACTGCACCTTGGCTCCACAGTCGGCCCCTTTGCTCACACAGAACCCAATGAAGACAGGGTCGGCCATCTTGACCAGGATGTTGTCCACACAGTACACGTGCAGGTACTCCACCCCTCTCTTCTTCATGTCCTCCAGCACCTTGTTGTCCACCAGAGCCTGGTACAGACCACCGTTACCATCTGACAGGCAGAAGCAGAGACATGGTCCTGCACACATCGTGTGACTGACAGTGTGTGTGGGGTCTCTATATCAGCTGACGTGTCCTCACCTGGAGCCATGGCTATTTTCCCTTTCCCCTGCAGGATGACCTTTCCATCAAAGGTCACAGCTGGGATCATCCGCTGCTCAAACATGACGATGTTTGAAGGCTCCAGACCAAAGTAGTTGTTTTCCTTGAAGAAGGTCTCAGTAGGAGCCAGAGTGAACTCACTGGTCATGATGTACCTGAGGAGCCACAGAGCGGAGGTGTTTGCACTCTGTCACATTAATAATGATAATAAATGATAATTGCATGATGCCGTTATAATAAAAGGACATCAGTGAGATAAAAAGAGATATGAAGAGATAAAAAGCAGTAAGAAAAAGACCAGCAGCTGCAGCTGAATAAAACAGTACAAGATGTAAGTAAGATGACAAAGCAATAAAAGAAAATAAAAACAATGGAAACAGATATGAAATATATAAAACAGTGAGAAATAAAATAAGGTTCAATGAAGGCCATAAAAAGGAAATGAAAACAATATCAAGAGACCGAGGGTGCTGTGGAGCTACAACAAACTAAGGAGACAATACGACAGGGAATTGAGAGCACATAAAAGCGAGTCTGTAAAAGAAGTGTCAGGTTATTTATCTTAAGGCCGCTGCAGACTACATGACAGAAACAAACACTCATGTTTTATCACTTAACACCATCACAGCTTCTCCAATTAACCTGTGTACGTCCCTCCTTTTGATCAGTTGCTTAGCAACAAAAACATCACTGATGAACGCGACCTAAATAAATGAAAACAAATGTCTTCTTTCTCTACCATCTGTTAATAATCACCTTCAAAATCAAAATATAATCTATTCATTTACAATTTAGCACATTAAACATGTGGTTCAGATGAAACTCAAATCACAAAGAGACCTTGTGTAATCTATGATGAGCTCTTACAATCCAAAGCTGACAGAATCATTAATGACTCACTGCACGGAGAACTTGAATTCTACCACTGAGTGAGCTCTCACCATGGCACGGTGCACTTGGACCCATACTTCACACCTGCCAGCTCCTGGATCTTGTGGATCCGCTCTGCCTGGATCTGGTACAGGGTTTTGCCGCTGGGCAGCCCGACGTTGTACATCCCTTTGGGATACTGAACGCCCAGACGAGTCCCCTGACCCCCAGCCAGGAGCAGGACGCCAACTCGACTCTCTGAGATCCGCAGCAGCCCTGTGGAAGAATGTGGATGATGTGTGAGCACTATTCAATGTTTATGAACTTCACTGACCTGCAATCAAAGCCTTTAAACCTTCAACATCAGGTCGACACAGCTCAGCCAGAGTCAGACTTTGATCAAACTTTATAAGCTGCATTAACCTTTAACTGTTTACAATGCTGAAGGTGAGCTCTTCACTGGTCTCATATCTGAGCACTCACTTCAACCCCATTCAAGCTTTTTCTGCTGATGTTTTACAAACTTTAGATGATGTGACATTCACACATTAGACTTTTATCACACTGCTGCATTAGTGTTCAGTGACTTGCTCCAGCTTTCAACTACTCTTCTGTCTACAGGTAAATCTGAGAGGCCAGGACATGATGACCCAGAGAGGGAAAAGAAAGACTGAAGTTCAGTGTCTGGTCTTTGGGACCTCTCTCTGTTTTCTGATGTATACATTAAAAGCTGTGGTAAATCTATTTAGTTACTTTCCAGTTAGTCATGTCTCCAGTGTAGTGAGGCAGAAGTCTCCAACAGGGGGCAGCTCATACACAATAAAGTCTGTGCAAACTTTAAGCAACACCCCCACTCCCATGTTTGTTCACATTTTGGAAAATAACATGTGGTGAATGATCTACTTCCTGTTTGGTATGAAGCACTGATGAACTGACAACTGTCACTGACCACAGGCTGGGCAGCTTCTTCTTCTTCTCTGGTCTCTGATCAGATTTGTATGTTCAGTGATGACTGAATGAAGAGTTTCACGTGTTTTTGGTACAGAATGTGATTTTCAGAAGCTGATGCTTGATGGCTGGTTACATGGTCTTATTCAGCTGGTTTGGTTTGGAGATCAGATTGACTGTGTTGATACAGTGACCAGTAATGAGACATGAGCAGCAGAGCCCCCCCCCTCTCTCTCTCTTTTCCCAGTCCTATCCGGTCTCCGTTATCTCCGCGGTCCCCACATACTCACCCTCGTCCTCCCACGCCGACAGACAGCTCGGGTCGCTCTTCCTAACGCTGCCGATGAACTGCGGCGGGACCGGTTCGAGGTGCTGGTCCAGACTGGCAGCGGGGGAGCCTGCAGCCCCGGCAGCCCCCTCACAGTGCTCCCGCAGCCCCTCCAGGTCGAGCTGAGACAGCTCCCGCAGGAAGGCAGCCCGCTCCTCCTCGCACAGCTCCGGCCAGAACCGCAGGACGTGTGTCTGTCCCGCGCTCTCCAGGCTCTGTCTCACCTGGTCCACAGAAAACATTCTGACTCTAAACTCGACTCCCGGTGCGACTTCCCTGTCCCCGCTGCAGGCTGGAGCTGCGAGCTGCGGCCGCTCAGAGCTGCTGTGGAGGAAATGACTGCGTGTCGTGAGCAACTCGTGACTCCGGCTCCAGGATCCGGACAAAGATCCCGCTGTGAGGGATCAGGTCCGACAGGATCAGGACTACAGGTCTGAGCAGGCGGCCATGTCTGAACGCCGACTGGTGGACTCCACAAGTTGAGGCTGACTCAGCGTCTCATCAGCTGACCGTGCTGTCCGTGCTGAGCTGGTCCCGACAAAACCACAGTCACACGGTCAAAGCCACTTTGTCTCTGCCCGGCAACGAGACACCGCACCTTAAACCCCCCAGACACGGCCGCTGTCGGGTTATATAGATGATAACAGACTGAATATCAAACATTCACCTCACGTCCATCACAACCAAACTATGATCACATACAAAAGTGAAACCATCTGCTCAGGATATTCTCTCAGCTTCCTCCTGTCAGCCATTCTGAGACCAAACCAACTTTATATTACATCAACATCAGTCCCACTGTGAGCCAGACCATGTACAGATCTACTGTCCTGGGGACGGTTACAACAGGTTGCAACACAGACCACAGATGGGTTCAACATGTTGAAAGACATTACAGTTCACTAATGCCAGATTTACTGTAGTACTCTGTGATTCTGTGTTGCTTTACAATACTATTTTCAGGACACTATGGTTACTGATTGCTTGATGAAAAGAACAGGGAGATATTATAAAACAGCCTGTTGTAATATGGGACAACATGAGCTGCATATTTTTCCAATTTGAACAAAACAAAACAAAACACACAGCTGAACGCACTTGTGATGTGACAGCTCAGCTCAGCCATGACAGGACCTCATATGTTAGACTCAGTGACACAACCCTACAAAACAAGTGTTTTCAATAGAAGCAGCTGCAGCAGATGTTGAATGAGTCTGAGTAAGTGCAGTGTGGCTGACTGGAAGGATAAGACTTGTTGCAACCAGCTAATCATCTCACTTGCAAAAGTCATATATGCACATAAACATATATAAATATCCATTTATCCATGTATAGTCAAACTTTAACTACTGTCATGACCAGGATGGAACTGTAGAACATGTCCAGGCTCATCCTGGACATCTACTGAACTTTCACCTTTCATCTTTAAGTGAAATGAATCTGAACTACAGACATCCCATAATAACATCAAATAACAAACATCCATCAGGTGGTGCTCAGGTGGGATTCCTGCTGCATAAAGAACGATGAACAAACTGAAATCAAAAGACGTGACAACTTCAATGTTGAACTAGTTTATTTAACAGCTGGTCTCATACAAGCATAAATATTATTTTCACCATAACATTCTTTCAGTGGATGCATCTACACTCAGCTACTGTGAAAGTACCCACATACTCATTCTTGCACCTCTGTCACTTACAGCTAGCATAATAAAATAAAATAGAAATATATACTGAATACATTTTTGAAAACTATGCCGTCACTTACCAATATACATCAGTGTGTATCATCTGGTAAAGATTTACCTAACTGTCAGTTGGTCAGTGCAACAAACAGTAAGGGCTACTTTTAAGACATTAGTTACTTTTACTGTACAAAATATGGAAAATATTTACACGCAGCCACAGGTGACATCATTCTGTGTCACTGATTTATGCATATATGATATCAGAGCAAGGGGTCGGATCAACACTTGTGCCAGAAAGCAAGAAAGAGAGAGATGGACCTTTGGTCAACACTCATGTGAGCCAATGTACTGTAAAGCCCATCGTCTCCTCTCCAACTGTTGCTAAGACACAGCGTGAGACGGGATGCTGGAGTAAGGCGGCTGACAGAAGCAGCATGGTTTTCCGACTGAAGTTCTACCAGAGACATGCACAGACTGTTGGTGTGTAGAGCAGGGGAGCTGGCTGTTTGATGAGCACATTCTTCCTTTTAACTACTCGCAACATACGCTTGACTCGGTATGAGGAGATGGCGATGTGCGTTGTTCACAACGCATCTGCCACTGCCCAGATTTGTGTTCTTCAGAATCAGCTGTGCTTACAGCTGAGCAGTGTTTGCAGCTGAAATGCTTCCTGTTTTATCATCA